GACTTTGCTGGCACTGTAACAAACCTGGGCACAAGAGAGCTCAATGCCGGCAACTTCAACACAGGGAAGATGCCACGGCAGGAAAGGCTGCTACCCAGAAAGGTTGTTGGAACTGTGGAGAGCAAGGACATATGAGGAGCCAGTGTAAGAAGAATACTACCAATAAGTCACCCTCAGAGAAACCAGTAGTGGTTGGTGTTGAGAGATGCCCACAAAACCCCATTGTGAAAGTCCCAACAGCTAAGTGTAAAATGGCAAGCACACATAGTGTCTACATGACAGGAAAGCTGGATGGCCAAAAGTGCAACTTTGTCATAGATTATGCATCTCAGCAAACCCTTGTGAGTATCAAGGTTCTGGATCACAAAGGAGTACCAGCAGCCATAAAGAAGCTCTGTGGTGTGACAGGACATTATGCAAGGTTGTGGGGACCAGTGTGGGTAACTATTGAGCTCATGGGCATAAAGGACAGACACAAAGTATACTTGGCTGACATTGAAGACCAATGCATACTAGGGTTGGACTACTTACTACCGAGGAAGTGTGTAGTTAACTTTGATAAAATGACGTTAGGGAACAACAAAGGCCAAATACCAGTAAGTGTTAAAAGAGAGGTTGGACTAATCAGGTACCACCAAGATGAAGTGAAAGTGACTGAAGGAGTTGATGATGGTGAAGTGGAACCAAGTACAGATATTAAAGCAGAACAGGAGAAAGACCAAGATTTGAAGCCAATAATTGATTTTCTACAAGTAAGTGGTTTGTGCCCTCCTTGGGAGAAGTTTTCTAGCTTAAGCCCTATGACAAAGAACTATTTGGCACAGTGGGACCAGTTGAAGCTTGAAGATGGTATTCTTGTCCGGAGATGGGAAACTGCAGATGGGGAAAGTGACGACCTGGCAAACAGTTATACCGAGAAAGTTATGGGAAGTTGTGCTGCATCAATCCCATGATAGTTTAACAGAAGGACATCTTGGAGTTAAGAAAACATTGAGTCACCTACGGCAAAGATTTTACTGGATAGGTATGAGGCAAGATGTGGAAGAATGTTGCAGGACCTGCAGTACATGTTGTGCTAAAAGGGGACCCAAGCGTAAGGGACATGCTCCAATGAAGTTATATCAAGTTGGTGCACCAATGGAAAGAGTAGCCATCGACATTGCTGGTCCTCTGCCCTAAACTCGTGCTGGAAACAAGTACATTTGTGTGGTGATGGTATTATTTCACCAAGTGGCCTGAGGCATATGCAATACCAAATTTGAAGCTACCACTGTAGCTTCAGCTATTAGTGATTTCTTTACTTCAGGTTTGGTATGCCATATGAACTGCATTCAGATCAAAGCCGTAACTTTGAATCAGCTGTGTTCCATGAATGCTGCAAGTTGTTTGGCATACGAAAGACCAGGACAAT